CCGAGTGGTCGGGGGTGGCAGCATTGCGTGCATGTCCTTTAGCACCTCGTGGGCCTCCTTGTAGTCGCGCACGGCCTGCGCCTGGTCCTTGTAGAGCGCAAGCCCGCCATTCATCGGGTACCGGACTTCAATGTCCGCAAACGGGTCCCGGCGCTCAATGACGCCGTGAAAGTGAAGGCACGTGGGGCCGTCTGGGATCTGGAGGATGCCTTGGCTCGGGTCTCTTGCAAACGCGAGCACCGAGCTGCACTCAGGACATGCGCACGGCAAGGCGAGCGACGTCAGCGCCCACGACGGCGGACTCGGGCGCGGTAGCGTAGCCACAAAGCCCTCCAGCACCGGTACGACGGCGACGACCAAGGGCCGCAGCACGTCACGTGACGTCGCCTTGAGAAACCACATGGCCACGACTTCAATGGCGACCGTGATGCGCTTGTCATTGGGCACTGTGCCCCAGAACGTGAGCACGGCGCTCACAACATCGGGGCCGAGGGAGCTTTCGTGGCCGAGCTGGTGGAGTGCGGTCCACGCATCAAAGACCACGTCACGCAAAACTTGTGTGTCGTACGGCGTTTCACTAAACGGCAGCTCAAAGACCGTGGACACTGCGCGCACAATGCTACTGGCGAGCGCCGCCGCAGTTGCCAGAGGGACCGTACAGCGCGCAAGAAAGGTCTGCAGCGTCGACAGCACAATCGAGGGCGACGCTATCGTCACAAAAAGCTCGAGATTGGACGCGAACGACGCCGTGTCGAGCAGCAGCGCCAAGCAACACGCCCACGAGCTTGGATCGTGGTCGTTGGTCAGCTTCTTGCGGCGTAGCGTCGTGTCGACCGTCGTTGCCACGAGCGTTCGATACGGCAGCAACGTCGCGGCCGGCAGCTCGTCTTGGAGGCGCACGACCGCCGCCGCCACCGCATCGATCGGGTCAAACGTCGTCGCGAGCACTTGGGTCACCAGCGGATAGAGATCCATCGGCTTGGCAAAGGACGCAACCGTTTGCAGAATGCCGACCGGAAGGCGGTCGCCGAGGAACGCACCGGCGCCGTCCGACGTGACCAAGTCGGTGGCGAGATGGGTCTCGATGCGAACAAGGTCCACAAGCAAATCGACTTCGTCGTCACCAAGGCAGTCATCTTCTTGGAGCTGGACGAGCTGGCCGAGAAGCGTGTAGTAGCAGCCTTGGATGCACTCGTACATGAACGGCTGTTCGATGGGCCGCAGCGAAGCGATGAGCGCCGCGCCCGAAACGAGGTCCTTGAGCTCGGCCGACGGCTTGGACAAGAGCGTCGTCAGTGGCCCATACAACGGCTCCCAGCCCACGGCGCGGATCATATCGACCACGAGCGCGCACAGGGCGTCACTGGCAAACACAAAATCGACAAGACTCATGGCCTGCCCGACCACGTGCTGCAAGAGACGGACGTTGCCAAAGCGCAGGAGGAGTCGACCGAGCGCCACGACGTCGGGCATGTTGCGGTTGTCATGGAGCAGCCCGACGTCCGTGGTGGCACCGACCATGTCGACAACGGCATCTGCAAACGACTCGATCGAGGCGTAGCCGTACAGGTCGGTGGACGCGCTCGACACGAGCGCGTCGAGCTGCGCGAGCGCCGCACGAAAGCCGAGCACGCGCAGCCGGTGGTGGCGCGGCCAAAACACAATGTACGGCGTCGGCGCGCTGGGCGACGGAAACACGCCCAGCGGCGCCGTGTGCTTGAGACGGTGCAGCAACGGCTTGTGGAGGAGCATGTCGTGATAGGCCGTTGGGAGCGCACTGGACGAAGGCGGGAAGATGTACTCGATGATGTGCTTGGGCCCGGCTCCACCCGAAGCGGCGTCGTACAGTGACGCGTGGTCGTCCTCGTCATCGTAACCATCTTGGTCATCCTCGTCATCGTCATGGGCGTCGTCATCGTCGTCATCGTCGTCGTCGTCTTCGTCGTCTTCGTCGTCTTCGTCGTCTTCGTCGTCTTCGTCGTCTTCGTCGTCTTCGTCGTCAAGGTCATCACTGTCTTCCTCGTCGTCCGAGTCGCCGTCGTCGTTGTCGCTGCCCTCGCCGTCGAGGTCGTCCAGGAGCCCCGAGCCGTGGAGGTCGTCCAGGAGCCCCGAGCCGTGGAGCCCGCGACCACCCAAGAGGTCGAGGATCGCATTTCGGTCGTGGGCGGAAAAATCGCTGCTGTTGGTGCCATCGGTTCGGTGGCGCGTCGGCGCTGGCTCGGGTTCCTTGGCAAAGACGAGCGCCACGTCGACGCAGTTGGCAGCCAAGAGACGCTCGACGAGTTGCGTGTCGCGGACCGGGAGCTCGTCAAACTCGAGGCCTTCAAAGTCGTCGTAGTGGTCGCACAGCGGCACCGCATAGAGCGTGTGGGCTTGGCGCGTCGCCGTCATGAGCGCGTGCAGCTCGGCGTATTGCGCCGAGAGGTCCATCGGGCGCGTCCGGTGCGGCTGCGTCAGGTCGGCGTAGACGAGATCGAAGACAAGCATGACGCGCGTGCCTTTCGTGATCGGCGTCATGGCGACCGTGCAATCGTTGTAGTAGGCAAAGTAGCTCGTCGCCTCGAGCGAGTTTGTCGCGGTCGATGCGTCGAGCGTCGCGGTCACGTCGCCGCCCGTCGCGTTCGACGTGTGGACCAGCAGGAGCGTGCCAAACGACCCCTTGGAACGGGCAAGCGGCGTCGTCGGCGGCGTGACGTCGGCGCGCTGGATCGCAATGTGCGAGAGCGCGAGGTGGAAGGGACCCGAGGGCTTGAGCACTGCGCCAACGCCTCGGTGCACGTCCTCTTTCTCGTACGGCTCGTTGTACATGTCGTAGCAGAACTTGAACTTGTCCTTTGGCAGCACGCCGGTGGGGTAGACGGCCAAGACGGCGGCGAGGTCCGAGGCGGCAGCGGCTGACATGCCATCGATGGCGATGCGCAGGTCGACGCCGTGGATGAGCAAGCCGTCGGCGGTGGCCGCCGACCGCAGCAGCGCGACAGCGTTGTCCAGCTTGGACCGCATGTGGGAGTGCACAAAACCGGATGATGGATGGTGTATCCGGATAACTGCGGAAGATCTCAACATCGCTGCAACGCGCCAAATTCAATCTCAACTCTTATATTCATGTCTAGTCGGCTCTCAAACCACTGGGCCAGGGACAAGGCGCTGTGATTCATGGCTGGTGATCGTCCTACGGGAAGACCGTTGTTATGGGACTGGACAGGAACCCGTGCAGTACTAGTAGTTCTAGTTCACTTTCCTAGTTGCAGTCTAGTACACATGTCGATGTTCACGGAGGACGACCTCCCCTCCTACGTGTTTGCGTTGATCGACAGTCATCCGGTCGCAGTCACATGGATCTGGAGGTCTTTTCGTGCGATGACGGGCGCATGGATCGTGTGGCAATGACGAGCTTGCGCAGACGAGGCAGCACCCCGGCATCGGAGCGACAGTCTTGTCGAGGGAGCGATCATGCGGTGACTTCAATGAAGTAGGTCGTCTGACATCGTCCACTCATTCGCGCGTGCGTCTTGCGATTTGCCACGCCCTTGCTTTGAGTCGACTTCACGGCGCGGGTTGGGGACCTCAGCGATTGGTGTCGAGTGACGCCCGAGCCGAGGGCGGTTAGGCGAGCAATGACGCGTGGACCGCCTTGCGCGTTCCACGTCGTGACAGCAAGCGCGAGTGCGACTCACTACGCCAAGAGGTCATGCGACTTCTTGTAGTCTAGCGGTCTGGACACTAGTTTACCACCAGGTAGGTCCGGGTTTAAGTCCCGGAGCGACCCCACTTTTTGATTCAGCGCGATCTCGTCTGCGTGCGACTGCTCGTCATGAAGTACCGTCATCGCCACTATATTTCGTGTCGGCTGGGCGCTGCAGACAAGGTGTTCTGCTCTGTACGACGTGTGACGCAGAGCCGATGGAGGGACTACTCTAGGCGTGTCTGCAAATGCGCCAAAGTGCTGCGCTGGTATCCGATATCTCTCGCGCACCAGTGTAACCTGCTCGTCACCTTGTACACCTAGTGCACTCAGAACATGATTATTGCTTCCTACTAGTAGTTCTGCACAATCCGGAATTGTCCTATTTCCAGATCCAGCCCACCAGACGGTTCTTCCCACGTCATGGCTCGCACCAGCGTTTTTCGAATTCTCCCACCGGTATTTGCACTGGAGCGTCGGTTCAAGTTCTCCTCTTCCTCTTTCTCCACAAGCGACTCGAATGATTCGTACATTTCGCCCAAGACTATACTTTAGTATCATTTCACACTAAACTGGAAGCAGATAAGCCCGGAGCCATGTGCTGGTATGACCATACCGGAAGCTAGACTGGACCTCGTCTGATGGCGCCAGAAACTCTGACAGAAGCTATCGGTACCACAGACACACAATGTGTTACGTGATCGATACCAACGCAGATAAAAGATGCAGTTGTAGACTATCTGCGTTGCCATCAGAAAGGACGCTTCGTCTTCGCGCTTCGAGTGCCCAGTTGAACTTGTACTGCACTCTAGTTGAACTAATATTGCACTCAAAGCAAGAAGCAGCGTCCCTTCTTTCGAGGCGTGTAGTACACAGTCAAGGTACGGATTTGTCGTCAGCGATTCGCGCCCTACCGGTACGCAACCGGTCCGTCGCTCCGTAAACAGGATCGGGTCACACCCGCCGTCGCAACCAGTTTTGTTTCGTCGGCGCGCCGAAATACGCATAATAAAAACAGCTGTTTCGGCCCAATCAGTATCCAAGCTGCCAATCGTTGGGCGCCATTTCCAAAAACACCATGGCCTGTGACAAGCGACCGCGCGGCGCCGCGTCGGGCGGGCTCATCCCGGCCATGGCGCTCGAGATCGTCCACTACATGGACGACCCAGAGGATGTCATCCGCTTCCTCTCTGCGCTGCCACCGTGTGTGCGCGGCGAGGCTCTCTCGGCGCTCGCTGCGCTCCTCGCGCACGGCCACCACAGCGCGCTCTGGCCTGTCTTGCACCTCGACGACCTCGACGGAGTCTGCATGGCGACGCTCACGCGCGCGCTCCCGGCCTTCCACACGATCTACCTCTTTGAAGGCGCGCGGTGGGCACTCTGCCATACGACGATGTTGCCGCCGACGACGCGCGTCTATGCGTGGCTCGACGATGCCTACCGCGCCAGCGATAACGTGTGCAACTGGGCCCGCAACGTCGTGGCCTTGAGCATCGAGACGCCCGAGTTTCTTCGGGATCCGAATCTGCTCGGGCGCGCGCTCACCGCCTGCACGAGCCTTCGCGCATTGACGCTGCAGTGGCAAAACGTCGATCAGACACTGCTCGACCAGACCTTGGCCATGGTCGTCACGACGCGTCCGGAGCTCCAAAGGCTGCACCTCAAGACAGAAAATACGCCGCTGCTCGAAAATGCCGCGAGTTTGGTGCGCTGGCTGCGTCTTCCCAATGCAACGACGTTCAAGCTCACGCGCCTCGACTTGGTCGGTGCCGCCGCCGCGACGCTGGCGGCAGCGCTGCTAGCATCCTCGACACTGACAACGATCAAGCTCGAGCATGCACCATGCCTCGCGCGGCTTCTCCTTGACCCGGCGCTGCCACCGCTACCGCGCCAATTGCACAAGCTTACACTGCGGTACCGAGGTCTCTCGGCAAACGTATCGGCTGTCGCGGCCAAGGTCGCCACGTCCCGTCTCACGAGCCTCGCGTTGAGTGCATTTGTGCCGTGCAACTTTATGGCGATCGTCGCCGCCTTGCCACACGTGCATGCGATCACGAAGGTCAAGCTCACGGGCGCCGACCTCGTTGCATTTCCGTTGCTACCGCAGCTGCGCCGCCTCGCACTGCACAAGTGTGTGCTTTCCGCGGCAGCGGCGCAGGACCTAGCGACTCTCTTGACGTCGTCGACGCGGCTTGAAACGCTGGACCTCTCGGAGTCGCTCTTGCCAGATGCGCACGCACGGTGCTTGCTGCGTGCGGTCCCGCGCTGGTGTAGCCAACGTGGCCCGTTCCGACTTTTGCGACTCTGCCACACAGCACTCTCCGATGAGAGCGCGGCGGTGCTGGCGACGGCGCTGGCGACGACGCGCAACACGAGTGCCGTGTGGATCGACGTCAGCGGCAATGTGCTATCGGCGGCATCGTGCTGCGGGTTGTTGACGGCGCTGAGTGCGACGACGCGGATGACGCTCATGCTCTACAACGCCGGCCCGTCGATCGAAGACTTGGCGGCCCACGCGCAGACTCATGGCGTTAAGAGCGCCAGGGCCTTGACGTTTACATCACCACCGCCCGAGGAGAACCCGTGGACAACATAGTCGTTGGTTTTGAATTGTAGAGTAGTCTTAACCTATACAGCTCGGCAAGTAACATCGCGTTCGTGCTCGGTGTAGCGTTCAAAATGTTGAAGAAAATCTCAAAATGGACGGACTGCAGAAGAAACTGCCGCGTTGCAGGCGTGAGTGAGCCCATGGAAAGTCATCTTGCTGACGCTGGCACAGAGAGTCCAAACCAAGCCAGATGCATCGCCGGCGACCATTCACACCCTGGATCTTCGCTTTCTTGAGTCGCGGGACATCTCGCCCATCATGGCCACCTTGCCGCAGACATTGAGAAAGCTGTGCCTCTCGAGTGCCACGATGTCGACCTTCCCGACGCTACCAAAGCTCGAGAAGCTCGACCTGTGGACAGTAGCCTTGACGAGCGACGCTTTTGCAAGTTTGTCGGCGCAGCTCGCAGCTTCAGACTCGCTCGTCCGGCTCAAACTCGCAGAGGCAAACTTACCCAAGGACCAGCTTGAGACGATCCTGTACACGCTGCCACGTGTCCTAAGTCGCCAGAAACAAGTGTGCTGCGTGCACCTTTCCGTTTCGATCGAGACCGAGATGCTCGTGACCGCCGTACTGTTCCTCACGCGAAACACACGGTATGTGTGGCTGGACCTAACGGCCGACGACTCGCTCGACCTGGCAATGTCCCAGCGCCTCCTGGCAGCCCTTGGTGCAAACGACACGCATGAAATTGACAATTACGAGCCACGACACGCCACATTTGGACGCAGAAGAGCTGGAGACATATGCTGCGTTACACGGTATCGAGTACTTTGGCGAGTGGTTCCACTCGCCACGCCGCACGCCGTGGCTGGCGCCAGCGTAGTCGTCAGGACACAATACTAGTACATTTTCTAAGTCTCTTGCATAGCTTTGTTTAAAGCAGGACGGTGGGCAAGAGAGTGAATGCGGTGAGGCAATGTCGTCAATGCGAGAGGATTTTGGTCATGTATGTTTTCGAACTAACGAGGTGACTACATCCTTCGATGGCAGCAAATCGTCGTCGGCGCTACATGTGTTCGCTCAACGCGCGAGCACACGCCGCTGGACGGCTGCGCCTTTCAGCGAGAGCTCGTGCACAAAGCTTCCGGCGCTCCATATCAAATGGGACAACGAAATGGTCGACCAAGGGACGCTGTTATGGCGGTCATCGCTGTATTGCGGCCACACGATTCGTATCTGCGCCTCTCTTCCGAGACAAAGGCCACGCTGCGAACATCTTGTCGCATGACTCACGCCACCATCGACGCGACGCCACCGCCCCAGCCTCGGGGAAGGAGTGGCGAGTTGCTTAACGGGAGCTGACATCTGAATGGAGAGGAGAGTGGTTGCGCAGCACCACTCTCGGAATGATCGTTTCGGCTCCTTGCGTTGCAAAACACTCATTTCCAGTGCGCTGTATATCAAGGCATTGAAGACCTTCTTCTCCAGACAGCATGCTGCGCTGTAGCAGCACAGTTTTGCCATTTTGCCCACATTCTTTTGATTCGCCAAAATCGAGCGAATTTGAACAAGATATTGCAATAACCGGACATCATTGGCTATTTATAGGCCAATCCGTAGCGAGGCAGCCTCAATGTGCTGGCAACACGACAGCTACAAGGTCCGCTACGCGACACAGAGCAGTACTGTGAACGCGCTCTGTATCTCGATCGACTACAATAGACTGCTTTCAACTACGCATGGACACAACAACACGATGGATTGAGAGCGATGGTCGTTTCAACATGTCTTGACGTTCCAGTGCTACAGTTGACACTGCGGCCACGAGACCCGAGGCGAAGCGAATGCAGACTGACGCGGCGTCCTGGCTGCTGCCACCCATCGTGCAGCAGGTCGTTCACGGCTTGGATACGACGGAAGACGTCATGGCCTTTCTCGACGCGGTGCCCAGCGGCGCCCGTGACGAGCCTCTGGACGCGCTGATGACGCTCTTGGAGCAGAAACCTCATCTCTGGCCGGAGACGAATATGGACGACTTGACATATATGGACATCTCGACGGTGACCAAGGCGCTTCTAGCAGTCCGCATGCTACAGGTCTTTGAGAAGCCTGTCGTCGTCGCCTTTGCCAGCGCGTTCAGCTCTTGCCATCGACCAACGTCCGCGCCATCATCGGCGACGACACGCGGAGCCTCGAATCCAAGTTTGGTCACTGGTCATCGAGCATTGCCAAGCTCAACTTTTACCTCCAAGATACTACTTGTATGTTGGACGGCATCAACCTGCAGAAGCAGTGTGGGGTCACGAGCTCCAAATGCACTTGGTCCTTCGAGAGCGGGCGGCGGAGCGAGGTTGGCACCGACACGTGAGCCCAAGACAGTATGTTGAGAACTAGTATGCAGAGAATGAAAGGCTCCCCGGCCCTAACTGCCAATGGGAGGATTGAGTAGCTTGAAGAACTGTGGGGCAGAATGTTTGTGGTCTTGCTTGGGCTTGATGTGGATCTGGCGGATCTGGCGGGAAACCAGCGTAGCGCTACAGCGGCTCGTCGCGTGCCTGAGGCTCCAGACGCTCGATTTCGAGTGGGAAAAAGAATTTGATGTCGATCCGCTGGGCGGCATCCTGTCAGTAATCGCCGCCTCGGACCCCTACCTCACCGATTTACGTCTCAATGCGAGGGTCCGTTTCGACATTGAAAGCTGCAAGAGCCTCGTTGCGTGGGTCAACAAACCATCGTCTCTGCGACTTTAGCTCCGATGCATGCACTTTTCGGCAGGCGCCGCCGAGGCTTTGGCTTACGCACTGCTCGCATCCAGCACGTTGCATACGATCAAGCTCGTGTTCCCAACTTGTAATCTCCTTGATGCGTTCCTGGATGTCTCGTCTCGACCGCTACCGCGCCAGCTGCGCAAATTGACGCTGGGTTTTACTGGCGACTGGAACGACACGAAATCTCTCGCCGCCAAGCTTGCGCTCTCGAGCGTCAAACGCTTAAACCTTACTTTTTGTCAACCCCGCGCCATGACGCGTGTCCTTGCTGCCTAGGCACCACCGGCTTTGAGGACGCTCAAGCTTCACGGCGTCACGATCAAAAGCTGCAAGCGCTCCAGCACCTCAAATTGTGCGAAATGATTATGACAAATGACGCTGTCGCTGGTCTTGCTGCGTTACTTGGTGCCTCGACATAAGTTGTCCGACTCGACTTGAAAGGCTTCAAGTTGCCCGCCATCCAACTCCGTACCCTCCTTATTGCGCTGCCGCGCTGCCTCAGTCGTCAGAAACGCATGTGCATCGTGCGTCTCTCCTTGACGAACGCGACGGCCATGCTGCTTGCAGCCGCCATGGTGAAGACGCGCAATCGCAGCTTGTGCAGCTTGAGCTGAGCGGCGACGACGTCTCGCTTCATCTTCCAGCGCGTTTGGGTCTCTTGACCGCGCTTGGCGCCACGTCGCTGATGGGAATGCAGTGGACGAGGACCCGGACGCAACCCAACGACCACGAGGAGACACAAAAGCCCAGCAAGGCGCACCACATGGCGGCCATCACCGCCTCGTGCCCGATCTTGACCGCTTCCACTTCGATGCCGACATTGGGCCGGACGTGCCAAGCTGCGACGCGCTTGTCGCGTGGCTCAAGCGAACCAAAGCGCGGCATTTTGTGCTCCGTCACGTGGACTTTTCACGCGAGGCTGCCAAAGCCTTGGCAACACGCGCTGCGTACGACATCAACACTCGGAACGACCAAGCTCGCGTTCGCATCGAGCGTCCTGGACGCGCTTCTCGATCCGTCGTCGCCACCAGTGCCTCGCCAGCTCCACACCTTGACGCTATCGCCGCGGGACACGTGGGTCGACGAGACGTATGCCAGCGACAAGCTGGCGTCGTCGGCGGTCTCGCGCATGACGCTTGGCTACGAAGACTGCGACGTGACGCCGATCATGACGGCGTTACCGCCAACACTGTTGTACCTCAAGGTCAACTATGCCACGATGACGCGCTTCCCGCTGCTGCCAAAACTCCAGCACCTCAAGCTGGAAGGTGTGACGTTGACCTCGAACGCCGTGGCTTGCCTCTTCGCCTTCGCTTCTCCGACTCGACCTGAACCATTTGGCGCTGCCCGACGACCAGCTCCAAAGCATTCTCGATATACTCCCGCCCTGGCTAAGTCGCCAGAAAAGTATGTGCTGCGTGCGTCTCGCAGTCACAGAGGCGACGGCGATGGTCCTCGCACGCACAATCGTCGAGACACGCAACACCCACGAGGTTCGCTTGGAGCTGCGCGGCAGACTCGAGTTGGTAACGTACAAACACTTCGTGGCAGCTCTTGGCGCCACGTCGCGCATGCAATTGCGCTTTGCAAAAGACACGACACAAGGCTACTGGCTGGAAAACCTGCAAGAGCACGCCACTTTGCACAACATACACTACGCACAACACTGGTTCTCGTTCCCAGATAGCACGCCATCAATGTCGCTCGCATTGGCCCGTTAAATCCTACGTGATGAATACACTTCGTTAGCGATACATTTTCTATCAGCTTTGTCCGTTTTGCTTGCTGAACGCGAAGCTCTTGGAGACTCTAAGAGCTTAGCGTTCTTATTTCTCAGCACTCTAAGTTAGCGTGCTGAGAATCAAGTATGAATCGACGCCCGTCAGCCTGTCAGCCTCGCCGTGAACGAGACCAAAATGCAGCATAGCAATGCTACCAGCAATGCAGCTGGAGCCTTGTAGCAGGAAGATACACTTCATCGAATGTGTTACACCATTGCATCCATCGATCTGTCATTTCAATCAAGTGTTTTTTGTTCTACTTCGCTTGCTCGTCCTTCTCGCACGGAGCATCTTGACGCCCTGGAAAAGTATCGATACCAACGACAGATCGTCGACGACGGCGGCAGCAAACGCAAAGCAACCGCGGGTAACGACAAAGCTGTTTCGATGCCACCGCCTTTGGTCACAATATCGTCCACAGTTATCACGCGGTCGACGATGTCGTGGCCTATCTCCACGCCCTGCCTCGCGAGAATCGCGACAAGTCTCTCCATGTACTCCTGACGCTCTTGGGAGACACGGATGTGCTCGACGTGTTGATCATGGACGTGTCGACCGTGACGACGGCGCTTCCAGCGCTTAGCATGGTCTTGGCCAACGACGAGCCTCCCCGTCATCCGCTTTTGTCGCATCCGGTCCTTGGCGACAACGACACGCGCCCGTACCGTCATTGAAGACGTGAGCCGAGCTTTGGCAATTGGCTCGCCAACATCACCGAGCTGGCCATCTACGCTGCGAGCTCGCCGCTGGACACATACGGCCTGCCGCACGAGCTCGCCGCATGTGGGAACCTCAAAACGCTCGGCATCGAGTGGGACAATCCCATGGATCAAACGCAGGTGGACTGCGTCATGACTGCCATCGGCGCCACTTGTCCCGATCTCTGCGAGCTGCGGCTCAACGCAAACGTAATGTCCAATCTCAAGAGCTGCGAGAGCCTTGTCAAGTGGCTAACACGGCCGCATGCGTGCAGGATCGAGATCAAACGCATCGACTTTGCAATGGCCGCTGCCAAGACGTTGGTGCATACGCTGCAGACGTCGACGACGTTGCACACGATCAACGATCAAGCTCGTCGACATCGCTAACGTCCGCAACGCATTTTCATCCATTGTTCCCGCCGCTGCGTCGCCAGCTGCGCAATCTCATCGTGGATTACGGCAACCAATGGAACAATTGCCGGGGCTCGCGGCCAAGCTCGCGTCCTCGACGCTAGAGAGCTTCCATCTTTGCTCTTGGGGGCAACAAAAGATTGCGTCGCCCACCATGGCTGCCTTGCCGTCCAGCTTGAAATCGCTCAAGCTCAGCAACGTCATGACGGCGAACTTCCCGCAACTGCCCGAGCTCCAGCGCCTCCGACTGCGCACCGTCCACTTGTCCAAGAACGCTCTCGCCGGTCTCAACGATATGCTGACGTCCTCGAAAAGGCTCGTGCGGCTCGACCTTCCATCGTCAATGTTGTCGGCGGCCCAACTGGAAGCGATCCTGTACGTGCTGCCGCGCTGGCTCGGTCGCCAAGAACGTCAGTGCTTTGTGGGTCTTGGCATGAACGAGTCGTGCGAGCCGTTTATTGCAGCCGCCATGACTAAGACGCACAAAACGCAACCCGTTGAGTGCTTGCTGGGTGGTGTCGGCCCGACGCTGGATTTCGTCGACACGCAGCGCCGCCTCGTGATAGCCCTTGGCACGACGTCGCGGATGAAGGTGAAGTTTGTGACGATGCCACGTCCCAACGACGAAACAAACCTCCAGGCGTACGCAACGGCGCACCAGATGCAGTACTCGGTGGGGTATTACCGGTCGCCTCTCAACTCGCCGTGGATGGCAATTGCATCGGCTCATTGTACATATATTCCGAAAATAACGCGGTGATGTGCACGGACGGATCGACTAAGGTTATCCGCCGGTGCGTTGTGAGCCGTTGGAACGCAACGGCCCGAGCGTGCAACGATCATTCGAATTACGGATAAGCAGGAGTTTCGCCCTGGTGGGGCAGGCTCCTGGCATAATTCAGTTCTTATCTTGCTTTCTGGTGCACGCGTGCGAAGGCCGCTCGTGGTGCCAGGACTGGAACCATCTCGCAAGGCGCGGGGAAGACATCACGCGGTATGAGAGACACCCAGCATCGTTTGGCACGTCTGCAAAGCCACAACGCCAAGGAGGATATATTCTACGATAGTACTGCGCAGTACGGTCAGAAAGTACAGAAAACGAGTCTCGAGAGCTTCGTTTAAATGTACCAGCCTACAGCATGGCATGGCGCAACACCATCATTGCGATTGGTTGATGTCTTGGTCGTGGTAGGGCAAGTGCAAAGTCGCTCCCGACCACCTCTTGATATGGCGTCGACTTTCCTCCTGGCGCCGCCATCAACAAGGGAATTTTCCCTTGACCATCGGCATCCCAATGCCAGCATCCATTGCTTTTTACCAGATTTACTAATTCACTCATTCTATCACTCTATTGTTCCATCGTATCTTTTCATTAAAATTATTATCCGGAATATGCTGGTTTTACTGATGCAATCGTCCGGATAAAGGCAGAGCCCCGAATATTGCGAAATGGCCTTCAAGCGATTCGCAGTCCCACATCACGTTTCAGAGTCAAAATGTCGCCAACCAAGCTGGTGGCCAAGCGCGCGCGGAAAGAGGCAGCGCAGTGGCTGCTGCCGCCGATCGTGCAGCAGGTGGTCTATTGCTTGGAGTCTGTCGAGGACGTGCTGGCCTTTCTCGACGCGGTGCCGCCCGACGCCTGCAACGAGGCCCTCGATACGCTTCGAACGCTTGTCGAAAACGATGCATACTTGTGGCCGGTCCCCTCTGTGACCGATTTGGCCAAGATAGACGCGTCCATTGTATCAAATGTGCTGCCGGCGCTCCACATGGTACAAGTCGACATCGACGATGCTCTCACGGACTTTTGCCGGCGCACGCCGCTGCCGGCGACGACTCTTGTTCGCGCCGGCGTCAGCAGCGACCTGCAGTATTTTCGGCTCAACGACGGCCACTGGATCTCGAACATTGATAATCTGGGTATCTCGGTCAAGTGCACATCGCTGGACACGAGCTTGCTACAGCAGACGCTCGCGGCGTGCACCAACCTCCAAACACTGGCGATTGAGTGGGAAGACGCTATCGATCAAGACCATTTCGACAAGGTCATGGCGGCCATCACGGCCTCGTGCCCACGCCTCCCGAATCTGATTCTTGGTGCGGCCAAGCATTTCACCTTGCCGCGCTGCGAGAGTCTTCTCGCCTGGCTCGCACGACCAAGTTCACGCAAATTCGAGCTCATTTGCATAGACTTTGCGCCGCGCGCTGCCACATCCTTGGCCATTAAGATGCTTTCGTCCACGACGCTCCATACATTGACAGTGTCCGAAGCACACCACGTCCTGACTTCGTGTCTCGATCCGTCGGCACCACCGCTGCCCCGACAGCTGCGCCACCTGACGTTCGGAACGAAAAAAGGCTGGCGCGATGTGGCGTCATTTGCAGGCAAACTTGCGCCGTCGGCCATCCAACGATTGGATCTTCGTTTTGGGACATCCCTTGATATCTCTTCGATCATGGCTGTTGTGCCGCCAACTGTGAGAACGCTCAAACTCGACAATGTCGGGACGGATTTCTTCCCAGCGCTACCAGAGCTCCAATACGTCCGACTGCGGCGTGCGACACTGGCAAACGAAGCCATCGTCGCGCTCACGGCGTTACTCGCCACCTCGACATCCCTTGTCCGACTTGATTTGGAAGATGCGACGTTGCCTGAAGACCAACTCCAGCTCATCCATTACGCTCTGCCGCGCTGGTTGAGTCGACAACAACACGCGTGCACCGCGCGCCTGCACGTGACTGAAGCGAACGTGGCGATGCTTGCCGCCGTGATGATCATGACGCGCAACACGCAGTTTGTGCACCTTGAGTTATGCGATGACGACGCTTGCGAGCTAGTAGCGCAGCGAAGCTTTGTGACGGCACTCGGGACGACTTCACGAATGCGGTTGCGCTTGCTGACGGCGCTCTCAACGGAGGACGAAGTCGAATTTGAAGAATTTGCCCGATTGCATCACGTCGAGTGCGCACGCGGCTTGTTTCACTCGCCCAAATGCACGCCTTGGATGCCGCTTTAGTACGACAGGCAAGTATCTGATTCCTTTGTTAATTGATTGCATTTCACGATATTACCGAGTCGATACGGCATCCAGAGCAACGACACGTCGGAAATGGTTCACATGAGAGGCAAATCCGGTGGTAGACTAGCTACCAGTGCCCATGCTTTCATATTTCGTGTCTCATATCATTTCATACCACGAGATTCCCATTTATCTGCAGAATTGGATTGCATGGTGGCACGAAACCTAATCGCGGTCCTTGGGACCACGCCACGGATGCGGTTGGTTCGTTAACGATGCCAGATAGAGAGGACGAAGAGAACCGAAAGGAGCACGCCAAATCGCAGCATGTGCGATTTGCGCGAGGGTAGTTTCTCTTGCCACAACGCACACCGTGGATGTCGCTTGCATAGTCACATCTACGCTATCCTTACTTCGGTAAACTTTAAATTGTCTCTACATCAATTGACACACTGGCAAGTTCATGAAAGGTACTACAAAGTCGACTGATAATAAACACCAGAGATGAAAGGTTGACGTCGTCTCTCGACTCTTTCAAATAGTTGCGGGACACGATACATGCACGAGCAGCTCCGCCCGGCTGCCACGTCACGAGCCAATTGCGGCCAATCCAAACCGTCCTGTCTGGCTGGACTGTACTGCACCTGGTACAGCATCCGGATACCGTCCGCAAAATTCCATTTGCGGCGGTGCGAGTCGATGACCATGATGGAGGCCAAGCGCGCCAAGACGAACGCAGGACGATGGCTGCTGCCGCCGGTGATCCTCCAAGTCATCCACTACCTCGATGAAGCCAGCGACGCTCTGGCCATTCTACAGGCAGTGCCAAGTGACGCTCGTGACGAGGCCCTCGACGCGCTCGTAACGCTCCTCACACAAGACGAGTTCTTGTGGCCAACGGCGGAAGTGGACGTCTTGATAAAGATGGACGAGGCGACAGTAATCACGGCGCTACCAGCATTTGGCCATCTCAAGGTCAACGAAAAGGCTGGTGCTGTCGACTTTTGCTGTCGCACGCCGTGTCCGCCAATGCCCAATGTCCGCGCGGCCGTCGACTGCGTGCAGGATCTCCAGCTCAAGTTTGGCCCCTGGGTACCGAGCATTGTGCACCTTGATATTAATGTCAAGCGCACGCCGCTGGAAAGCCACGCTCTTGAGCGTGAGCTTGCTGCGTGTCCAAAGCTCGAGGGGCTCAACGTCCAATGGGACGATGTTGTTGATCAAACGCAGCTGGACGACGTCATGGCGGCCGTCGCTGCGTCGTGTCCGCGCCTTGCCTATCTGCGCCTCTTTTCCAAGACGGATGCAAACTTGCAGTGCTGCAAACGCCTTCTTCCGTGGCTGTCTCAACCAAATGCACGCATCTTCAAGCTCTTCGGAATCGACTTTGCGTCACCCGCTGCCAAGACCTTGGCACACGCACTTCTCTTGACAACGACGCTCGAAACGATCAAGCTCGATGACGCTTCAAACGTCATCCTCTCGTTTTTGGCCCCGAGCTCCCCGCCGCTGCCCCGCCAACTGCGCAAGCTCGCGTTCAAATTCGGGTCCACCTCGGTCGATATACCGACACTTGCAGCCAAGCTGTCGCCCACGGTCATCCGTAGTCTGGACGTTCGCTTTGATGAGACCCGCGACATCTCGCCCATCATGACGACCTTGCCGCGGACGATGAGAAAGCTCCACCTCGAGACTGTCACGATGACGGTGTTCCCGACGCTACCAAAGCTCCAGAAACTCGACTTGTGGGCAGTGACCATGACGAGCGACGCCTTTGCAAGTTTGTCGGCACAGCTCATAGCTT